CGCTCAAATCGGGAATTCGTCGCCTCGCTGTCTACTGATTTGCATTAAAGTTTAATACCTTAAGCGCTTCTGTAATAGTGGCTGCATCGCTACTTGCTGCTAAGTTCACAAGATATTGGACCGTAGTATTTTTTGATAGACTTCCTTTGCCCTTGGGAACGCTTTAGGCTATATTTTTTATCAATCTAAATATTTTCAAGTAGCAAACTCCACAATTTTTTGCCACTTTCATGCGGTTCCGGCTTTCCACAGTAAATCTATTATTTACATTTATGGTTCCTGATTAACTATANAGTATTTTTTGATAGACTTCCTTTGCCCTTGGGAATGCTTTAGGCTATATTTTTTATCAATCTAAATATTTTCAAGTAGCAAACTCCACAATTTTTTGCCACTTTCATGCGGTCCCGCCTTTCCACAGTAAATCTATTATTTACATTTATGGTTCCTGATTAACTATATTATTTACTGGTGATTACTTCTTAAATAAATTACAATCCAGAAAAAAGTCATCTGACTTCCAACTAANTATTTACATTTTTGTCTGCTGGGTTTTTTATTGTTGTTGTATTGACTTCAAATCGTTATGAGAGAGGGAGTAGGGATGTACCAACAAGAATGTACAACAAAAGGATGAAAGTGGTCAGAACTTGGAAACATAGCGGTGGGTGAATTAAAAAGTGTTACACCACCACAAGACCATCGGTAAAACTCATGATATCGAAAGGGATATGAAGTACTAATCCCTGGTATCACATCGCTACTATTCTTGGCCTATGTATCAGGAGGTTTCTGCTCTTTATTCGTATCAATTTAAACTAAAAATGTTTACTTTACAGACCACTTTTGCGTTTAAACGCTCTTTATGTATTGACCAACGCAAAAGATCTTATTAGGCGCCGCGAAGCAAGCGGGCATTGGCTAGTNAAGTACTAATCCCTGGTATCACATCGCTACTATTCTTGGCCTATGTATCAGGAGGTTTCTGCTCTTTATTCGTTTCAATTTAAACTAAAAATGTTTACTTTACAGACCACTTTTGCGTTTAAACGCTCTTTATGTATTGACCAACGCAAAAGATCTTATTAGGCGCCGCGAAGCAAGCGGGCATTGGCTAGTATGTACATACATATAATGAGGTAGATATATTTTTATAAATAAACATTATAAGGAGTTTATTTTACTTCTGCCACTGGTATTATGCAATTCTTTCAACCACAAGGTACATTTATGGACTTACATTTTTTTGTATAGAGCTTTCTTTGACATACCTTAAGTTACTTTATCAGATACATATGTATGTACACGCTAAANTCTTCTGGCACTGGTATTATGAAATTCTTTCAACCACAAGGTACATTTGTGGACTTACATTTTTTTGTATAGAGCTTTCTTTGACATACCTTAAGTTACTTTATCAGATACATATGTATGTACACGCTAAAGTATTAGTAAATGCTTATACATTTAATTACTGTCTTTTGTTTTGTTACTTATGAAATAGTTTTCACTTTAAATAAAAAAAAAANACTTCTGCCACTGGTATTATGCAATTCTTTCAACCACAAGGTACATTTATGGACTTACATTTTTTTGTATAGAGCTTTCTTTGACATACCTTAAGTTACTTTATCAGATACATATGTATGTACACGCTAAATTATTAGTAAATGCTTATACATTTAATTACTGTCCTTTGTTTTGTTACTTATGAAATAGTTTTCACTTTAAATAAAAAAAAATAGGTTTCAAACCCATTTATTTATTATTTATTTTATGGTAGCAGAGCTTCTCAAACAATATTAAAGAAACTTTTTCCATTTAAGTTGTTGAAAAATAATAATAATCTAAATTCCGGGATCAAGAGATTGTGATAACGAGATCCCAAATATCCCGGTATCGTAAAAAGCGAAAAAATTAACATCCCTAGTTGTGATTGTCCATGCTTCTGCGCCATATACCAGCACGGGCATGATGAGTGACTTATAGAGTGTGATTTTCGTAGGTCGAGAGGATTTTACTTCAAAATTGACTACTCAGTCCAAAAAAAAAAAATATTAAAAGAAAAATCACATGAAAGGGAGTCGCCCTGTCNTACCAGCACGGGCATGATGAGTGACTAATAGAGTGTGATTTTCGTAGGTCGAGAGGATTTTACTTCAAAATTGACTACTCAGTCCAAAAAAAAAAATATTAAAAGAAAAATCACATGAAAGGGAGTCGCCCTGTCTAGTAGCAAGCGTATGTCGGCTTATTGCAGAGTGCTCTCAGAGATCAGGTGTGAGAGCCGAAAGGCAAATATTTAGATTGGCCTTCTGTTGTGATTGCAGCATTTAGACGTTAGGCTTTCTTTTTATTGTTGGGCGCACATATGTATTTTCTGCAGAGAGGCACGTTTCCCATAGAAAAATTTAATATTCAGAAAATTTACTTTTTTAACAGTTTCTTTTATCCTCCTGATCGCTTTTGTTTACTTTTACTGGAGAAATGTCATCGCCGCCGGGAAAGGGTAATCTTGTATTCCATCCACGATGTAGAGAACAAAGGTGGCGCCTATCTTAGTGAATTTGACAGAAACGCTGTTTGTATGATTTCTTGCATTATTGTTCAAAAATCCTCTTTGGGTGGGTGCAATCTTGTATTCTATCATTCTTGGCACTAGGTGTGATTCCCGCGCGTCTCCCGTCTGCTGCGCTCGCACAATGAGCGAAATTCTATTTTACGGTTATTTCCATTAACCCTCAGATTACTCCGGACCTTATTTGGTATTGACTTCAGCTCGACGATTATAATAAAAAATTTCAAGGAATCGTATTGGAATCGTCGTTAGTTGCGTCTTGACTTTCCATTTATAGGAGTCACGAGGTCTGCGGCTGTTGAATAAAACTTTTAATACTTTGCTCTTGGCAATATTTTTTTTTTTGAACTAACTCATGTCGTTTTCGTTTAGTCTGTGGAAACTTAAAATAAGTGTGGCTCGGTTTAAAGCTCAAAAACCGTTCGCTTGGAATTCTAGGTGGTGGTGTTGGGTATACTTTAAATGCCTTTGAATTATCTCCGCAGCATTTCGTCTTTTTTCGCTAAATTAACCCCGACTATTTAAGGCTATTCTGCGAAGAAATTGTACACTTATTCAAAGAATTGCTTTATGTATAAATAATCGCAGTAAAATTAATGTGTATATATGAAATGAATCATCAACTTTTTTCACATAATTTTTGCTATTTCATCATTTGCTACTAATGATATAATGTGTGGGTAATAAATTAACCTGGTTTTGGTGTGGAAAGCTTACAAAAAACAGAATATACATCTTACACAATCGCGCACTCACTTCTGCATTGGAATGCCTCCACACATCCACCACACACATACACGCACGTATCGCTTGCCTTGAAGTACTTTTGTTTGTTTACAAATCGTGCTTATACCAAAATCCCACATTTGTTTCTCTTGTCTATATGTATGTACGTCGAATTCGTGTGGCAACCACATACTAATTGGAATCAATCAACCAACGAACTAATCAACCAAATCACAAATCAACATTTGACTTGAACACGCGACGCAATAGGAACAACCACAGCCAGTGNGTGATTTCAACATTTGACTTGAACACGCGACGCAATAGGAACAACCACAGCCAGTGTCGGAGGAGCCGGTGAAGTTCGTACATGTCCTCAATCCCGGCGAACGCGAGTATCTTTCGCCCAACTTGATTGGCGTACAGAACATAGCTATGACATTCCTGCCGCTCTCGATGAACTTCGTTAACATCATCGATGCATTTCGCGAAATTGTTGATGGCGTGCGATATGAGATACTTTTGAATGCCGTTGATACGAAGGCAAACGATGCCGATGTGATATGTCGCATAGTGATCATAGAAAAGCCTTGGCTGCGCACCGAATGGGGCGATAAGGTTCGTGAATTGCGCACGTCCAACTGCACCAGCGAGGACGACCATCTAACCGAACAAGCGGCGCGCAGCAAAGCGCTCAACGATAAGTATACTAGGAACGCACTCTTCAATGGCGGTACACGAAATGAGCTTAACGATGACGACATGTCCAAATTAGAATCACAAATTCTACCAATGCCGTTCTCCACGAATGGACTAAAGCGGCGCGAGACCTCAACAAGCGACACCACAACTTCCACTTCCGCTACGGCAGGGACTACGACTACGACGTCAACAACGACAACCCCTGCAACCCCAGCAACAGAACAATTAAGCACAGAAGCAGCGGAGCGAATTGAGGATGCGACGACAACTGCGCCAACGTCGACACTTAATGTGCATGATGAAGATAACGCAGAGTCCACAACATCGCTGCCAGTGCTCACACAAGACGAGATGAAGTGGTTGGATGATTTTCTATCTGTGGGTGCTGTTAGCTTTGAGCAGACACAACGTGAAAGACTAGAAGCAGCGGAGCATGCTGCGGGTGGGCATAATGATAATGATGCCACCGTCGAAAGTGCTGCTGCTGCGAGTAATTATGTGCAGCAAGAACAGCAGCAGCAGCTGGAGAAAGATGGTGATGAGGGACAGGTGTTGGAGGTAGATGGAGAGTTGGCAACAGCTGACACGTCGGCGCCAGAGCAGGTAAATTACGCCGCGTCCCACCGCAAAAATCAATGCGCCACTTGCTGCCTGCTGTTGCAATGAAAAAAAGCACGCAGCGGCAGGCAGTGGTGTCAACATCATTGAAAATGCATTAATTAAAATTTTACTTGTCAGTGCACTCTCAGACACACACACATACGCATACGCCACTCACTTACCTAAGTGATGGCCCTATTCGGTGCGCTCCCAGCACTGTCTTTCCCCTTTTGTTCGCCGCTGGCATACAATATATACTTTTACATATACATACATACATATATATATGTACATATAGCTTATATTTGGTAGCTTTTGTGGATGTGTTTGAGTTGGTTTATCAGTTTTTGGCAAAGCCGCCAAATGTTGTATATTCAATTATAAAATNACCCTATTCGGTGCGCTCCCAGCACTGTCTTTCCTCTTTTGTTCGCCGCTGGCATACAATATATACTTTTACATATACATACATACATATATATATGTACATATATCTGCTTATATTTGGTAGCTTTTGTGGATGTGTTTGAGTTGGATTATCAGTTTTTGGCAAAGCCGCCAAATGTTGTATATTCAATTATAAAATCGTGAATTCTCCTCCATAAAATTGTCCCCAAATTTATGTGTTTGTAAGTTCACAGTGTTGTTTTTTATTTTCTGCATTACATATTTATCTCATTATTTTTTGTTGGTTGAGTTTTAATGTTCATATCCTTCCCATACATTCGTGTTTTTATCTATGTGCATTAGACTGCATCACTCCACATCAAAAAAAAAATCCGATACTGTTTTTTTCATTGGAATTATGAAATCTTCTACATATATTTTAAGACTTGCACTTAAATATTTCGGAAAACTATTACCGATTTGGAAATACCTCCAAAAATGGAGTTTTTTATGAATAAAAATAGTTTTTTAATATATATATATATATATNCTACATATATTTTAAGACTTGCACTTAAATATTTCGAAAAACTATTACCGATTTGGAAATACCTCCAAAAATGGAGTTTTTTATGAATAAAAATAGTTTTTTAATATATATATATATATATTTTTTAAATCACGTGGGATGACAAAACATTTAAAGAAACGTTTCTACGGATTCATAATAATGAGATTTTTCATGCTGTTATTGAACTTTTTTCAAAGATTGATCTAAAAAAAAACTTTAATAACTGTGCCAAAACTATACCGATTTAGCCTTATGAGGTATCAGTGGAAAAGTATTTTNAATCTAAAAAAAACTTTAATAACTGTGCCAAAACTATACCGATTTAGCCTTATGAGGTATCAGTGGAAAAGTATTTTCTCACCCTTTTATTTCTTAACCTCATTCAAAGTATGAAAGAAAAGGGTAGTATGAACGAGCATCATTCCAAGTTGGATTAAGATGTGTTGATATATGAAAAAAAAATTGGGACGTGAATGACAAAAAAGAAGAAAAAAAAAACAAAATGCAAATATTATTCATATTTTTTAGCAGATTTTTTAACCTTAAACTGTTTTGTAACCTCGGTATTTTTTCAAAAAATTCTTTAAGAAACAATTTTTATTCATAAAAAACCCAATTTTTGGATGTATTTTCAAATCGGTTCAGCTCACGTAAATATTAAATTTTTTTCGTAATATTTTGGTGAAAGTCTTCAAATATAATAAATTTTGTAATCCTGGTGAAAAAACCGCAACTTTTTTTTGGTGATGCAGTACAATGTACATACATACATTAAAGTATATGTATTAAGGGGGTCCTTGAAATAGGTATGAACATCTAAATTTTGTATGAGGCAACGCTTTATTTTGTTCTAGACGCAAAGTAAACNTGTAATACATTAAAGTATATGTATTAAGGGGGTCCTTGAAATAGGTATGAACATATAAATTTTGTATGAGGCAACGCTTTATTTTGTTCTAGACGCAAAGTAAACACATCCACAAAAATTTCTAAATTTTAAAATAATTTTAGATTTTTTTTAAATCGCGAAAATTCTACAAAAGCCGAATAAAACAAGTGGCATGTCATTTGACGCCAATTTTAATTGGCTTTCCAACAAAGTACTGACTCTTATTGATCGCACTTGTAACTTTAGTCATGAATCAAAACACTCACATGTTTTTGAATAGGGACAATGCTTTTTCGCTGTTTTTGCTGAGTTAATCTGCTTCTATTTAATATCCATTATTTTTCAGTTAAAATACAGTTCATTCTCTAACAAAACCTATAAAAGCCTATAAACGCCAGTTTCAAACTTTGTAGAAAATTAAAAAAATAATGTCAAAAAAATATTTTTTAAAAACAAGCTTTTATTTAACCGTACAATCAAAGGAATAAAATGAAGTAGTGTAACAAAAGATTTTTTAGCAAGAAAATTTTGTCAAAACTGCAGTAAAATGAATAAAATAAAATAAGTTAAGGTCTCGTTAAAGTTACTAAAAGCCATTTAGTGAAAGGAGTTATTCAAACTCTAATGAAAATTACTAACAATTTGTACTAATTTACTTCGTTTTTAAAAAAGCTTGTCGCGCGAATAGCAAACCGGCATTTAAATATCCGCATACATACATATACATATATACCTAACCAATTATGCATGTACGGTAGAAGTGTATTCTTCATTTTATTCCTTTGATTGTACGGTTAAATAAAAGCTTGTTTTTAAAAAATATTTTTTTTACATTATTTTATTTTATAATTTTTAGTCCATTCATAAAGTCGTTGTATGTTAAAAAGTGTTATTTTATCTTATGTAAAAAATTTTGCAATAGATATTAAAATAATTCAACTTGCAATGAGAGAGAACAGAAGACTCGGCAAGCAAAATGTTGTTTGCTCACGTTTTGTATAAACATACATATGTACGTAGGTATAGCAGCAGTTAATTTTATTTAAAGAAATGGTGTGTCGTCCATTTCCGCTGTAGCATGGCATATATGAGGCATTCTCTGCAAAAAAAGCCACTCGAAAAAAAAAGTTCTATACTTTTTTTGGCAATGATATATCTTATAGTACATGCAAAAACTAAAATAAAAAATATGGTGTTAGGTCTGTGTAATGCGGGGTTGCCATACTGTCAGGGGTCAAAGTTTTTTGCAAACAAATTTTTGAACCGCCATAACTTTTAAACGAATGAACGGATTTTAAAACGCCATTAGACTTTTTTGTACAAACTTTCTTAGACTTTAAAACTGTGTATCATAAAAAAATTTAAAATTAATATTTCATAGAAATTTTTATTTTTTTTAATTTTTAACCTTTTATGCCCCCTTAGCTTTTTCAAAAATACCCCAAACTGTTCCTTATTTCATCACCTTTTTACTCCCCAAAGGGAATTTTGGGACAGCAATATTTGTATGAGTTACAAATAAAAAACCAACTCAGCGCAACGCTCTCAATCCAAGCAATTTCTTTGTTTGCCTCCAAATTGCAATAACTTGTCAGCAGAAGAGAAAGGGAAGTAAAAAGTAAGACAAGCAAACAGNAACTAATTTTCCTCACAATTTCAAACAAAGTTTGAAACTTGTATTTGTATAATATTTCTTTGAGAATGAGCCGCATTTGATTTGAAAAATAATGGAAATCAAATAAAAGAAAACCAACACAGAAAAAAACGCGAAACAGCTTTATCTCAAAAAACTGTCCAAAGAAAAAAATTAAAAATATATGGCCTTATTCATAAAAAATAAAGTATCTTTAAAAAAGGTTTATAAACTGAAAAATATATGAAAATGTCATTTTATAAAGCTCTTTAAACCTACTTTATTTTTTATGAATAAGGCCAATAGTTTCTGTGGTTTTTTTTCCAAATAAATATATATTTGTAAACCAGTGGTATAGATCTTAGAAAAAATTAAAAAAATGCTGCACTTATTTCAGAATAAACTTGAACAATTGGCAGTCTTGGGGTTTAATTTTGTTTGATGAATCCACTTGCAGATGACTAATTTTCAAAAATTTGTCAAGTTATCAGATTTGCACCCCTATGCTGTAATCCGAATGTTCGTAGCTACGAATTCGTAGCTCCGTTCCGAAAATTTGAAAATTGATATGCTGTAATCCGATCGTAACTATCAGCGGCGCTGCCAGCTAAAAACGTGAAATTCGAAGTTCTTAATCAGCTGCTTTGACAGAAACAAATCAAAATAAATATAATCGCAAGTGAATAGTGATATTAAAAAAAAAATAGTGGAATCATTATTTGAAAAGACTTTTCCTTAATTAAGTAGAATACAAAAAATTCAGTGGCTGGTGCACTTTTGTCCCAGGAGGAAGAACACCTAACAGTTGCATTAATATACAAAGGAGACTGATAGGAGATTTTTCTGTTAGCTTAAATGATAAAATGTAACCTCCCTCCTTTTAAGGGCCTCCATTTCACTAGATATTGACCTGCTTTAATTCTTGGAACGCTTTCCCAAAATTCCAGCACATCCTCTTAGCTCCTTTTACAAAGCTTCGACCAATGTCCGGCCTTTCGCTCATGCATTCCACCAGTTTTTCGTATTGCGAGCGATTTGTTGTGATCTTCGATATGTTAATTTTGTAAACATTTAATAATCAATTTTTTTTCTATTCACACTTCAACTTACATACATACTTTTGCATTTACACTCTTTATTTTATTGATATTTTAACACAATTTGTTAAATACAAAAAATGACAGCTATGTCGGATTCAGGCATACCAACATTACGAATTTCGAAGATGGCCTACGAATTTCGAAACGACAACGCGGATTACAGCATACCAATTTTACGATTCGTAGCAAAATCGAATCTACCACGGATTACAGCATAGGGATGATACATTTTTTCAAATCCTGGTAGCGATCCCTAAACTTTATTTTAAAATTTTGAAAATGTCTTCATTTTTTCCTAGAACTAAGTAAACTGATGCCTCATATAAAATTTAGATCTTCATATTTTTAAGAACCACCCTAATATGTATGTTTTTCTGTGGTTATATTCTGCCTCTGCTTTTAATAAAATCATCACGCATTTAT